ACTGGATTGTTGTGGTACATTGCAATATGCTAATTAAGAGGAATTTTAAAGGAATTTTTGTTTATAAGATTTTTTTTTTTTGGATTATTCTTGACAGCTCTTTTGTTTGCACACAAAAAAGTTAAGGCAGTGACATGACAACATAATCTTTTAAGATACGTTCATTCAAATTATTTGGAAGAACTTTTTTTTTATGTAACATATGGTATATATTAAATACGTGTACTCACATTTGATAGATTTAATAGATTTGATAGATTCAGCTTCAAAGTAGTTATATTTTCCGGTTAAACGTCTCGAAAATATTTAATCGGAAGTATTTCTATAAATTTAACGGTTTTATCCGTTCTATCAAAGCCCATTGATAGATACTACCTCCCATTCAAGTGAAAAGGAAAGTTTATAAAGTTTTCTAAGCTCCTTATTTTAATGGAGGACAGTTTGGTCATGTGGTCATCAAAAAATAACGAAAGATAATCTTTTACTGGCCTAAGAACCATAACAAAAATCATTATAGCGCAGATGAAATGGCATTGAATGTCTTTCTGATACGCAATGACTTTTCTGCACCGATATCATTATGGCGTGCAGATCTTGTCTTAGTTGAAGTTGCTGACTGGTACGTTTTTTATTCAGTTGATCTAAATAAATTTTGAGATATAACAAGAATTCTATATACCTATATTTTATATTATTTATATTTTTTTGTTATGTTCAGATATTCCTTTTTAATTGTTAAAATACTGATATTCACGAAATAAATTACGGAAAGCAGTAAGACAATCTGCCTTAAAGTTATATGATATGTTCCTTGAGACCCCTATCTGGCTCATTAAGAAAAAATCAGCATTCTCGAACTGTACAGTGTTTAATTCAATAAGTTCAATATAGTGAGTGAATGTCGGTTAGCGCTGTTCTAATCATGGATGTGTTTATCATAAACTGATTTAGGTATAACCTTTAATTGTTTCAACGGATTTTTTTTAATGACCGCAAACTACTTTGACGTCCTTCTGACAGCGGTGCAAGTCACACGGGATTATGTCAGATGAGTACGTATATATATATATATATATATAAGAAAACCAATTAAAATTTGAGTGATCAATTAAATTATATTTGAAAATATGATTTTAGTCATCGCAGATTTGAACTTTTATTTTCACTGTCATTTTTTCAATATTTCATTTTTTTTTAATTTATTTTCGCTTTTTTGTGTTGACTTCTTACAAATGCCGTCATGCAAACTAATCAATGGCTTCTTTAATATTTGTTTCATATTCCACAATCAATTGAATTACTTGTCATGCACTTCACCGCAATGGTTCATGAGAAAAACATTTTTTAAAGGTAGTACACTTCAGTTTATCGTGCAAGAACTGAAGGTAAATGACCTTTTATAGCATATATACAGATCATAGCCTGCTCTAGTTTTAGTTCCGAATTACCGTCATGTCAAAGAGAATTATCTGATGTAAAGGTTATATCTGTTTCGAATTACATCAGATATCCAATGTGTCAGAGCAAGTAGTTAGCCGAATACTTGTTCCAGCTTGTGTTCCATGTCTCCATCACGATACAACTTAAGAGAAATATCAACAATGGCAGTAACACCATTTTCATCATATAATGTAAGATGAGCCATCCCTCTTTCCAAATTTAGAGAAAATTCAACATTTGTTACTGGATGATCGGGAATGCTTTCTTCATCCTTATCAAGCAATGTGAAGTCTATTCCATTTTCCTTTACAAAAATAAAATAGAAAAAATCTCATTGTAATATATATAATATACATCATATTTACATCAAACATATTATCTAGTTTTTGCAAAAAGGTTCTAATGGTCGTCGGCGTTTCATTCAATTGAACGATCTCACCAATCTTCTCGGCAATGTCCATTTTCGATCTCATTTTGGTATTCATTTCTGCGATAACTGCTCTTAAATTTTGAAACGTTGCTTACCGAAATTTTAATAATAATGATTTTAGATGTTTTACCTTTACTTTTTTTTATAATATATCATTTCGAAATTAAAAATTTCAGAGTTTGCTTTAATATCTTAAACTATGATAATTTTTTTGTAGTAGTAATGGTTAATGGTAATGGTATTTGGGGGTTTTCGGGTTGGGCTAAGCCTGCGACCAGTTTGATCTATTGTGCACCTTTTTGTATTTAGATGTTTAGTATCTCGAGGAATCGAACCAGCTACTTCGGAGGGAGTTTTCGAAGGTCTTCATCCTCTAGTTGGTATGTACCTAAAATTTTGTTTCTTCTGTGGCCTAGTGCATCGCAGTTGGTGATCAGATTTTTCATAGACTCTTCCTCATCACAGCGGAATCTGCAAATATTAGGGTCTGATAAACCTAATTTATGTAGGTGTTTATTACTAAACAGTAGATGTCGTAAACAGTAGATGTAGTAGATATAGGTGGATAGGTAGGTGAAGTTGTCAGCTTCATGTATTTGGAAACTATTATACTGAAGTGTGGTGTGATACCACATTACCGCAACAGAAACGCTTGATTATATCTGTTAAAATAATAATTTCATCGCTTTGCATGGAATGAAGCTTCTGTGATATAATTAGGCTGCATTTTAACTGTTTATAAAGAAAAATCAAAAAGGAGCCTTTTGTTCCTCAGCAGATAGAAGAAAATGAAGTTAGGGGAATAATTAGGAATGAAGCACATCTTAAATGAACAAGAATATCATTATATAGAGATGTATTTCAAAAATAATCAATCTAAATACCATATATAGCGGTCTTAAAAGACATTTTTAAACAAATGAGTTAAATAGCAAAGTGCCATTAAAACTATCTTCAATGCATGGAGACATAGTTGACTCTAATATATATAGTAATGTTTGATGGCATTTTGGAGCAAAATATCTCCAAAAATATTTTACTTAATGCGTCAAATGTCTTGTATAGCGTCCGCATTCATCTTCATAACTCACCATCATCGAAGTTATCTATTGTACAAGATATGTAGACATTGTTAAAGACCAATTAATCCAAATGTATAGTTAATTTCTTTGAAAATATGTTTACAAATATTTTACATACTCGTCTTAAAAACTGGATGCTTCCAATAATTTGCATTCTGTATCTGTATTCAAATGATTTGTTTCTCATTAGTACGTATTTTTAATTTGTGTCATTATTTGAGTTTTATACTGCAAACGTTGTCCACGATTAGTTATGAAAACAAGGAATTATCTAAACGACAATTTAGAAACTAGACAGGTATTCGGGAATGAATCATATATATCGATTCTTTTGAGTTTTGAATTTATTAAATTTGTCCAGTAAGAATCAATACATCAACACCATATGAATATGAAAAGTGTGACAAGAATCAGTTCAAAATACGAATCTGCTCAAGCCCTCATTTAAGGTAGTGTAGTTTGATCTAATAGGTTTGATGTCTTGATAGTGTGTATACCTATATATTAGTATCAATGGCCGTAGAAAAAGAAATTGGTTCGAATTTTCGAAAATTCAAGGTTTGGCATATTATTTTGTAGATTATTTAAAGCTATCATACATCCCTTTATTAACATTGAATAACAACTTTCACCTTGAATTTATTCTATTTTTCAGACTGATTTATCATTTACGTCAATCTTGCGGAAATTGAAAAGTTTATTTTTCGTTTTTTTTTTACAGTAAAGAACTTTAAAAGGAAACCCAACAAGGGAGGAGTGAAAAGGATTTCTGAGATTGATATGAACGATAGAAAGCTTTGACTGTCATCAAGCGGTTGAGGCAGGTACGTACATAAGCATAAAAAACTAGAAGATAGAATAGAAAATATGGAAAAGAACGAACGCAAAGAGTTGCCACAACTTTTTAAATTAATTAAATTAACAAAAAATAGAAAACTAGAAAAAATTAAAAATATATAAAGAAAAGTTATAAAAACGTATTAAATGAAATTAACTCATTTGATTCACTGCTGTGATTCATTTGAAATCACGGGCTTTAATATTTGATATCCACGCATCCATTTCTGCACTACTAGAACTACTAGAACAAAGTATCTGGTAGCAATGTCATGACTGGAAGCAATAAATAGTAAGCTTTTTCACACATTTATTATCTCAATTAGTAAATAAAATGGTTTTTCAATAAGTTCTTTGTAATAAAAACAGATATGATATCATCTGAATATGCTTTGCCCATTTTATTATTGAAAAAATTAAATTAAATTTATTTAAATTTTGCAAAAAAAAAATAAATTGTTATTAAATTAAAAATAAAATTTATTATGAAAAGTTTTTAAAGTTTTAGTTGAAATGAACTGACAACCTAACTTACTTTTAATTCGCTATATGACCTTTTGAAAAATTTTGTTTAACAAAACGGAAAGTGAAATGACAAGGATGTGCGGGGAGTAAAAGTTGGAAAAGGACATGAGTTGGAACTGCAATAGCAGGACAAAAAATCTCACTTTTGCGTGTTAATGTCTCCGTTGTTCAACTTCAAATTTTTAAGCACAAAACAAATTGTAATGGCGTTGCAATCACATCCGGTAATAAAATTTTGTTAAAATAGGAAAATGTGTTCTGTGCTTCCGTGAATTTTTAATAATTTTTACATTTAAGTTCTGGAGTTTTTATTATATTTGCATACACTGTGTGCACTTCAACTTTGTGACCTTAGCTTTTAACTAAATTTTGCTGAACGTTTTTGTAATTAACAGAATATCGTACAGTACTCACTTAAACAGAATATATAAATTTTTGTGATAGTTTTTTAACGAATTGCTAACACATTACTTTTAATTTCTCAGGATGTTCATTTAAAGGACATTTGCAAACAATTTAAATTAATAATTTAACACTTTAAGTAAAAACCGAGGTGTAGAGTCTTAATAAAATTGCTAACCAAAATAGTATTTATAAATATTTCCTCTAATTTCATCCTTCAATTACAAAGCTATACTACGTGCCACATTTAAGGATATTTATTGACAGAAATCCGTTTAAGTGTTAAGCTATCTATTGCACACATTTATTAATCGATGCCTAAGCAATATATTAGACATATGGTGGTCTAGAACGATTTCAAAGGAAGAGTTATAAAGAATAATGCTCCAAATAAACGTAAACAGCGAGATAAGAAGATATCACGCATGCTGCACTTACTTGAAAACCCCAGGAGACTAGGCGCAGGGGCAGAGCAGCAATGATCTGGAGAACGACAGTTCAGCAGGAGACGGGCAAATCGTTTAACGAGTTGAGAGCAATAGCACAAAATAGAAACCAGAAATTTCAATTATATCCATAAAAGCAAATCAATGCTTTATGGAAGATTTAAATAAGATTTGCTTATGATTACTGATATTTTACATATTTGTTCAGAAATCTAATAACATATAGAAACTCAATTTCTAAATATCAAAGATAGAATTATTGTTCCTACCATAGCATAAAAGCCTAACAATAGCAAGTTCTATTCTATTCACAGAAGCTTTGGTTTCTTAAATATTTATTTAGTCATATTACATCTAGTATTTATTTACCGCATTATAAAAGAAAATCTTTAAATTTAAAGATGCCAAGTAAATATTTGCATAAATTTTGAAGAAAAGCAAACAACTTCCTTTTCAGCGAAAATCTTAGTTGGCATTGCACTTGTCAAAACTGACACTCAAAATGAACTGTCAGACGTGGGATTAAGTACCAAAATAACGAAAATAATTTCATTAACAAGTAGGACAATTTATTAACTTCTTCATAAAGTGGGCTTAACGAGGGGAAAACTAATGTCAACTGTCAAGTGTACATGAAAGGGAAAAGCAGTTCAAATAATTCACTTGAAAAATAAGAAAAGCACATGCTGCTTCATAATTTTTCAAGTGTTCCTTCTCATTTTCACTCCACATTTTTTCTTTAGGTTTTTCGGTTTGGACATGACAGTAACATTTATTTGAAAGGATACTTAATTAAAAATGAAAGTAGTTTCAAGGGTTCTTTATAAATGGAAAATAACCGTTTAATATTGTGTCCAAGCAGTTACATTTTTAATGAGCTCATAAATAATATTTTCCAAAAAAATATTTCTGAATATTTAATTTCTTTTTTTTGGTATATTAATTTAGTTGTAATCACAGGAGATTCCACTTAATAGAATTATTTTTTTTAAACAAATTTGGATCAATTTAAGGCAACTGAGGTTAAATCTGCAATCCGTTTTGGGATGTTTGGGTTTCTGGTAATAATGAGAAAACGTTGAATACTCATAGTTTTCAATGACTATTAAAAAAGTATCTTATTTTAGAAAGGATGAATTTTGTAACTTAAACAAAATTGGTATTAATAAAAAAATAAATATATTTACAGTAGACATCTTTGTCAGAACTTTCCTCATTTTTCAGAAGAAGGGATTTTTCAAATGTTTCTAAAAAACGTTATTGATATCACTAGCGAAATACTGAAATCACACATTGGTGTTCATCTGGGTCACAGCTATGACAGTAATTTTTTAAAAGGATTTCTGTCCGGTTGTAATATCTGCCTGTAAGAAAATAGTCTTGGAAAGTCAGAAAAGATCGAATCCATATAAGAGCAGAACATTTCTTTATTAAATGTAGGCGTGCCATATCATGCATATAATTTGATTTATGTGCTTTTTATGCCATCTCTGCGTTATAATTCTGCTAAAATATTTCTATATTTTATCCTTAGTTTTAACCGAAACTAAGGATATGCTCACATTTAGTCAGATTGATTCCTGTAAGGAAAGTTCTGCATCATTTCCAGTCAACTCTTCCAGACGGTTCCTTACTGTAGCATTTTTGATTCGATAAAAATTTAAAATTAATCGATGAACAAACCGACATCTGATTTAAATGTATACGACATTCCGGCACAAGCTTAGATGCTATGCATGTAGTCGAAAAGATAGTTCTATATTTAGTTTGACAGAACTTCTTATTTTTAATTGTAGAGCTATATGTGTAAATTTTGATATACTTATTTGAGTGGCATTTCCTCGCTATTATCGAATTCCCTTGTAGGTATGTAAGTAGAGCAATAATTACGAATTAATATTGGGTGAGATAATCAAACCGCAGTTTAAGATATATCATATGTTATACGTTCACTGAGTTATTTATGTATTGTCTATGTACTTATTGGTTTATGTTTGGTCTGCTCTTAAGTCCAAAGCGGTATGTAGCGCATTCAGTACCAAATTGATAAATTTAATAGTAATAACTTGTGTATTAGAGATGTCATTCAGTTCACAGCCATACGTCAATTAATTCAATATGTAAACTTTCTGTCAAAAACTATAAAGGAAGTTTGTGTATCCTTAATTTCGAATTTAAATTTATTCCCAATTATTGAAAATGATAGCTGACAATATTGACGATTACTTAGTAATAGTAAATCATAAATAAATATTTGCATTAAAATATTTTTGCATTTCATGTATGAAAATAGAGATGTGTGTAACATTTTGCTCAATAAATTAACAAAATAATTTGCATATTCGAACCCTTCAGCGTTTTGTCATTGATTGTAAACTTAATCGCTGAAAATATATCATTCCAAAAATTTAGATATTTTAAAATTGAATAATTTTTGTAGCTGCGAGTCAGTAATTTGACGTTAATGAAATAAATTGAAGTGCATTAATTAATTTCCCTTTGTGGTTTTAAGCATGTTTTGTAATCATTTAGGTTTAGTAAATTGAAATAAAATTAAAACTAAAAATAAAATTGAAATGGAAATTCTGTTTAATTGTCAAAACCGCAACATCATTTACTGAGCAACAAGCGGATTACAGCAAATGCGCCGTTTGTGGTAGGATGTACTCAGTTTGCTTCGTCAAATTACGTTGATCAACTCTTATTGTTTGAGCTATTTTGTTGGTGATGATACAAATGAAAAGTTACATATCCTCAAAATAATTTCACAATTTTGACAAAATAAAATTCGAAATCAAATACGATTTTAAGTCAAAATTATTGTAAATATCATGGGAAAATATATCAATGTTATATATATTCTGAGATATATGCAACCCTATGGCGTTCAGAACTGTTGTGCCTCTTTATATATTTAGAGTAACTGTTTCAGCCCTATTTCCCTAATAAAAAGTAGTATTTTTTCTATTTTACACATAACGAATATAATTTTATTACATCTACAACTATAATGTAATGCTATATAAAGATTAAATTCTTTACTATAAAAACATAAAACATCTCTCAGTCTTATGTTTTTATTAAATAGTAACATTTATCCAATTTAACGCACAGTGATTAATTAACTTTATTAAGCATTAAATTAACTGTACAGATTTATACATATCTGTTCCTTCAATTTCCCCAAATTAGCAACACCTTTTTGACAATGAAGACGATTTAGTCCAAGAACTTGAAACTCATTTTAGAGTTTGTTGAATGACGCGAGATACAGTTTCCGCTTATTGAAAGAATTTCTTTACCGCCCTTATTTAGCAATATTTTTATCATTTTTGATGATAATCTTGTTTTTGATTTTGATATCAAAATCAATCTACTTTGTTTCCGTCAGAAAGTAGAGTTTGGTATACAAGATCTTCATAATACTGCGAAACAAGAATTTGAACGCACCTAAGTTAGTTACTAAGGTTACTTCTTAGAGATGCATCCAAATAATATATCGAATTTAATGCTTGAGCTGAAACTATATGATATGCTATCGATACATATTATTTCTATATTCGATATTAGTCTCATTGGTTTCATCGGCAGCGATTATAGATCCAACGTAGTATAACATTTCAACGTTTGAAGATTGTTGTGCTTCTATATTCAATAAATTATATGGGGTTCAAGTTAGATATATATAGCTAATTCTAATAGAAAATCATTACTATTGCCATGGACAATCTTACCTTCGATTTCTTGCAATATCTCTTAAATGAATATCGGCATATACGATTATATTCATCATTTGATATGGGGTTCGAGAAATTATTATTAAGCTGGCACTCTAAGTATGCGTTTGCTTAATACCATAAAAGCACTCATAAGTTCCATTTTTAGTATTGTAGAGTATTTAGTATAGTAGTATTTTTTTTAGTATAGTATTTAAAGTTTTAAATAATTTTTAAAAATATTAATATTATATTATTTGTAACTGTGATTAATGACTTTACCATTACTGAAAGTTAACTAAACAGTAAATTATTTTTAACCATAAATTAAATTGTTTTATATAAAGTAATTAATTTTATTTATACTTAAACATATGTCAAAATACATAAATCTAGAATATTAAGCAATAAAATCACTAATTGAATAAGCAACACCAAAAAATTTTTAATTATTTAATTTATATTTTAACAAAATAATATGGAAGTAGTTAAGGTTTTATAGTCAAATAAAATAGTGCATATGATTTCATAGATCATAGTATAAGGCAGAATTCATTACAGGATAAACAAAAAGAAGTTTAATTTCTACTCTATAATTAAAATTGAGAATTATATACAAATAACTTTCAAGAAGGGAACTTTTTAAAAATTGTGGAAAAAATTTTATTTGGTATTGTTGAAGTAAACATGTATCTACCAGTAGTATAGAATATAAATAAACAGGGTACTAGCTACTAACGGAGCGGAGCACTGCGGTCATAGTTGATCCTCTGAGCTGCAACAGACCCTAACCGAACAGACGACATTCTGGCTTTCGAATGAAAATCAGTATGTCAGCCGTTGAGGAACTCCTAATGTCAGAAAGGGAGAGTAATTTTCGACCCAGTGACCTCTTCATTGCCCAGATCAAGGAGTGACAGTCAGAGAGAATATGACTGGAATACATGTTTGTGGTAATGCATGTTTGTTTCCTCAAAAATAAATATTGACATGATGCCTTAATGTTCACATATTTATGTAATGTCCGAAAGTCAGTCGGTGATCTTAAAAACTTTAAGTACCTGATTGTGTATGTTATAGCTAAGCTCTCGACACGGAGATCTCCATATGAATTTGTCTACTTGATGTGCCAAAGCATTTTCGAATGTTTTGAATGCTTGGTATAAGCAGTACTAAAGCGGTTTGAGTTTCGTTTTTGGAGCCTTATTATAAGCAGTGCAGACATTAAGCAAGGTCGGCCTCACTAGTTGATTATAAATATACAGTTTATTTTTCAGTTTCAGATTATGAATATTTAAAATTGTTTAAGTGTTTTTATAACCTGTATTTGTTGGATGTTTACATGGTTTATTCAAGACAACTTTTTGTTGAATGTAAGGTCCAACTATTTCTGTATGTCGCTCCATTCTATGTAA